CTTAAGCCATCTCTGCATGATTCCCAGACCTAAGCAGGGAGATGCCCAGACTCCAAGACCCCTCTTCCAGGTCCCCCAAAGCCTGCCTTAGAATAATCAGACCTTTTTTTAAGGACCTCCACTATCTCCCCAGAATTCCCAAACTGCTCCACAACCCCCAAGGCTCAGGCCTTATCTCCATACCTCCCTGGCTGTATCCCAGGATCCTTCAGCCTCTCAGATCTGCCCAAGACCCCAGTCCCACTCTAGACTCAGATCAGAACTCCCTTTCTTACCCGCTGCCTGGAATTATCCTCAACCCATCATGTCCCACAGGCAGGCAGCCCTGGAGATCACTGCTCGCTACTGCAGCCGAGAGCTGGAGCAGTATGGCCAGTGTGTGGCGGCCAAGCCTGAGTCATGGCAGCGGGACTGTCACCACCTTAAGATGAGCATTGCTCAGTGCACGTCCTCCCAGTGAGTATGGGCAAGTACGGGGGCAGGTTGGGGAGGGGGCGGTGGAATGAAAGTCTCCCCAGGCCTGAGATGCCCTGCTTCCGCAGCCCAATCATCCGCCAGATCCGCCAGGCCTGCGCGGAGCCTTTTGAGGCCTTTGAGGAGTGTCTTCGGCAGAACGAGGCCGCCGTGGGCAACTGTGCTGAGCATGTGCGCCGCTTCCTGCAGTGCGCTGAGCAGGTGCAGCCAACACACCCGCCCTCCACCGTGGAGGTAAGGCAGCGGACTCAGCCGTCCATCCCACCCTTCATCCTTCTAGTTCAGGGTCAAGACCTTGGAGTCACCCTCAGCGCCATATAGACCTTCACCATTCATCCCAAAGCCAGAGCATGATCACCTCTTGCCCCTCCCACAGCCCCTGCTTTAGTCCAGCCACCTCCCTCACCCCTCCAGCACCAGGACAGCTGCCCAGCCTTCCCCTAGTCTCCCTGAACCCCCTCTTACCTTGCCTCTGTGAAATGACCAGAGAGAGCATTTAGGAACTGAAAATGAGTCACATTACACCTTTGCTTAAAGCTCTTTATTGGCTTCTCGGCCACACTGAGCACAAAATCCCAGGTTCTTGCTGGGTTCTCTGTGTTATTCCCCAAGAGCAGATAGCAGTGAGACAGACTTTTAATTCTTTTCAGAAAATATTCAGTAATGAATGCATTACTGTTGATGCTGGTTTATTAATCATATGTTGGTGACATTTCTTTCTTTGAAGTTTTTTGGGCATCTGAACAAAGACCCCACCTTCCCATCTTAAAGCCAGTTGCTTCTCCCTCCCAGTATTAGGAAACCGGCCTTTCTCTGGTCTTCCTGTAGCCTTCCCCCCCGAGTCTGCTCTCCCCTGGCAGCCAGAGATGCTTTTAAAAATGGGAATTGGGTCACATCTGTCCTCTGTAAAACCTTGTGGCTCTCCAGTGCACTCAGAGTAATTAACACCACACCAGATCCTCCTCACTGTCCTCTTCCTTCCGGTAATGGCATCCCAGTCGCATCTTTTCTTCTTTGATTGGGGGCAGTGAGATTCAGGCCTTCTCTATTCTCCAGTCTCGAAAACAACACACAGTCTCATCTCATAAAACATGATAGAAAGACATCTCATATTAATGCAGCTGACAACAAAAAGCGCTAGGTGTACCTCCCCTCCACACACGCCTCTGCTCTTTACCCTGATTTAATTTCCTTCATAGGATTCATCAGCCAACATATTTTTGGTCAGCTGTTGTCTGTGCCTCCCTGGAGTCAGAGACTAGTGCCTGTCATGTCTGTTGCTGGGTCCCTAGCACTGCAGCAGCGCCGGGCACACAGCAGGCGCTCTGTAAATGCTGCAGAATGGTGCCTTCCCTGCTCTCAGTGACAGTCAATACATCCGATGAGTTCACATGGCACCTGACACCCTCTCCCTCCAGCCTGGGCTCTGCAAGGGCGGCCTCTGCTCTGGCTCTGGAATCTCCCCAGCGGCGGACCCGGGGCCAGGCCCAGGCAAGGTGCTGGTAGACACTGAGCTGGTTTTTTCCACAGGCACAGCCGCTTCCTGCCTCCTGAGGACTCTTTGGACCGTAGGAAAACTGGACATGAGTGACTGGCCACTTGATGCCTCAGACCTGAAGCATGGCCAGATGGGGACCTGAGGGCTTCCCTGGACATCAAGACTCACAATAAATGACGACTGTGTACCAGGCTTTGCTTCCTGCCTTCGGCACCTGAGGGGACCCTAGGAGAGCCGGCTGAGCAGAAATCCTGGTCCTCTGTTCCCCAGCCTCACCTAGTGTGCCAAGGAAGGGCCTGGGGCAGGGGGCAGGATGCTCCGTCTGTGCAGGGTTAGGACGACCCCTCCTCCCTTGTTAGCTCTGCCGGCCGTTTCCTGTCTCCTGCTGCAGCGACGTGGAGAAAGGCTCTTCGTCACTTTGACTCCTACATTCACCGAGTCTCTGCTGAGTGTTTACTTGAGGCTTAGGGGGCAATAAATAACACACCTCTCTCCCTGCTGAGTTCAGAATCGGCTGAGCGATAGACGTGAGCATGAGGCAGTACAGATGGAAGCAGTCGCTGAGGATGGGCCTTAGAGTTTGCTGCACTGGACTTGTCTTCTGTCTTGGTTTCCGTTCTTCTGGAGCCCAACCCTGAGAATTTGAGTGCAGGTAGTATTTTGGTGCGTGATTCCAGAAACACTCATGGAGGAGTGGAGAGAAGGGACAGAAAGAGGAAGGCATTCAATAAAAGATGCCTTATTAAGCAACGGGGGCTCAGTCCCACCTGGGACTTCTGGGAGAGGGCACAGAACCTATCCATTCCCCTATCCCGGGGGCAAGGAAGGTGGGGCGATCTGTGTCCACCAACTCCCCGTCTGACATTGAGGGATGTTTTCGTGGGCACTGACTGCCTGCCCTGTGGGTGGCAGAGTGCCCTCCTGCCACCAGCAGAGAGCCCTGAGCAGAGAGCAGGGGTGATCCAAGTGAGCAGCCTTCACACAGCAGAGAGGGCTGAGTGGACTGGTAGGTGCCAGCAGTGGCTGCTGCAGCCCCTTAGTGTTTCTCTTCAGGAGTCCAGGCTTCATGGGCACAGCTGGTCGATCAGTCTTCCTGCAGGGGCAGGTCCTAAAGGGCAGAGGGTAGACAAGTGTGCAGGAGGGAGACAGCCCAGAGCCTGCACCCAGCTTCACCACTCAAACAAGTTGCTCCTCCTGGTGGGGCCTCCACACTTACTGAAATTAGAAGTGACTGGTCAGCGCTGATCGGATTGGCCATTTGAAATCTAGGTCTTGTGCTTTGGCTTGGAAAAATGAGCCGGAGTCTCTCTTGAGGATTTGATACCTCAAACAAAAGGACGTTGGTTGGCTTAGGGGCCAAGGAGGAAGTCCTGTGCAGTCAGGGTCGCCCTTGGATGCCACGTGGCCCAAACGCGAAAACCCAGGTCGGGGAGAGAGGACTGTGGTCAGTTCATGTGGTCCCTGAAGGCGCTGCTTAGGGCTTGGCGGCTTTGCGTTCCCGCTCCAGTTTCCTTGGGCTGTGGAGTGAGCCCTCAGATTACTGTGTGTGTTTTCAGCCAACCCCACTTTGAGTAAACTAGTGTGGGTTCTGCCCTTGTGACTAAAAGGAATGATAAGAACAGACAAAATGGAAGTTGATAGAATGTCTCTAAAGGGCCTCTCTTCCCATAGGCTGGACCAGTTCCTCATATGGTGGTCTCAGGTCCAAGAGAGCAAAAATGACCTCAAAAGTCACCACCTTTACCACATTCTCTTGGTCAAAGTCAGTCATGAGGCTGACCCAGAGTAAAGGATGGGGAGACTCCACCTCTTGATGGCATTTGGCTCCAAAGAATTTTTGCCCATATTTACTCATGAAAACTTAATATTTCTTATTCCGATGTCTGTTTTGGTAAAATGTGTTTTTCTAAGAATTTTTCATGTGATCTGAATTTTCAAGTTACCATAAACTTGTTCTTAATATCTTCGTATTATTTTTTTAAGGTCTGCCGAAATCTGTAATGAAGGTCCCTTTTTCATTTCTGGTATTTAATTATTTGTACCCTCCTCTTTTTCTTGATCAGTCTCGACAGGAGTCTGTCAATATTATTAATCTTTTCAAGGAATCTACTTTTGGCTTGATTAGTGCTATTTCCTATATTTGTTTTAATTCTCTTCTTTATTATTACCTTTTTTCTTTGGATTTAATTTTCTCTTTTCTACATTTTTTGAAATGAATGTTTAGCTCACTGATTTTCAGCCTTTTTTTTTGCTTTTCTAATAATATGCAGTGAAGTGTCCCACAAAGCATGGCTCTTTTGCTTTTATCATTGATCTCAGATTATTTAGAAGTCTAAAATTGTATTTCTTTATTTCTAAACATATGGGGATTTTTCTGGTTATCCTGCTTAATTGCAGTTGGGTTAGGAAGATTTCATATGATTTTAATCTTTTGAAATACGTTGACACTTTATGGCTTGGCATATGGTCAGTTTTTGTTAATGTACCACATGTGCTTGAATCATAATCTTTGGTTCCTGATGCGCTGTCTTAGCTTGGATTCCCCCAGAAACAGACTTTGAGGCGGGGCAGTGGGAAGGGAGATGGGAAAGGGATAGCAGTGCAACTGTGGGTAACAGCTGAATCCTCTGGGGAACTCTGGGAAGCTGTGGAAACGGGCTTCCCACTCAAGGGATGATGGTATTTATACACTAACCCTCATCATTCATTTGGCTGAGGGCTCCTTCAGGGGATGGGTCTTTCATTCCCTGCCACTTCCTGCTTGCCCCACACACAGGCGGAGTGGGCCCTGGCAGAAAGCTGTCTAGCAGAGTGAACCCACTGGTTCGCTTCAGTGGCCACCACCTTGTGGCCATTCACTTCAGTGGCCACCACCTGCTGCCACAGCTGCCCGTTGCTCCAGCCTGTCATGTCTGCCTCCGCAGCAGCCACCATCGTCCTGACCACCTCTGCTGCCTGTCACTGCTGACGCCATCACCACGTCCCACCACAGTCACCGCTGGTGCCAGTCAAAGGGGTGTGGAGGTGAGGAGGCGGGGCAGGTTAACCAAAGGCAGAGTCTTCGAGCATCTCCATGTTTACCTCTGATGGTTGAACTGAGGACTCTGTGCTTGTCACTGAATGTACTGACTTTGCTGATAAAGATAATCACTATATTAATGATAATTACGTTTGTCAGCACTTACCTTCAGTGAGTCAGCAACTCATTTATACCATCAAAAACTTTCAGACAGATTGTACACAAATAGAAGCCACATCTCTAAGGAAATCGATCATCTTGAAAGAAAGTAAGCTAGCTTTTACCGTAATGAACGTTGTACCATATGCTGCTTTTAAAAAGTCCTGCTGCCACACCTTAGACCAACTAAACTGGAATCTCTTGGGGTAAGACCCAGGCATCATCAGCACTTTTTAAAAATACCGCTTTTAAAATGTATTTCAATGTGCAGCCAAGAACCACTGCCCTGATGGAATTCCTTATTTTTCGTTGACTGTGATTTATGGTATTAACTTGCTGGGAAATAAGGGGCTGGAAGTTGCTGACCCTATTCTGAAGCCCCTGATGATATGGAATGTTCAGGGTCTGGGGAGCCTGAGTGTCACAATAGTATTTCTTTTTAACCTAGTGCATATTTAGGTGGTGACAGATAACAACAAGGTCAGATCCAAATAATTTGCATTCTTTCCTCCTCTGCTGGGCCACAATTTATGGGATGCAAGATGTGTCAGTTCGGCTGGACAGAACGAAAGGGTGTCACTCTTAAAAAGTATTAAGCAGCAAAAATGCCAAGGATGTGGACAAGTTCGTGCAGTGAGTGGACCTGCCCTCCTAGTCTCCCAGAGTCCTGGACACTGTCGCTGGGGCTGCTGTGGCTGCTGAGTGTGGGGAGACAGTCCCAAGGCAAGTCCTGCACTTCCCAGGAGAAGCCACTGAAGATAACATGATGACTGTGATGCAGCTGTGCGAGGTGCTGGTGAGGGAAAGGGGGAGATGCAGACTGGAAAAATGAAGAAACAGAGCAACCCCCTAAGAATCTGCACCCAGCAGAGCCCAATCCCCAGGGGACCAAGCCCAGGGAAGCATGTATGTTCTTAAGATACATAAAAACAAGACTTTAAAAAAGAAGATGGCAAATCAAACAGTACTCATTAAAATGGATATAACCTACACAGAATAAAAATAACAGTGACATATTTCTTCCTGTCTGATGATTCAGTAAAGTAGTTTTGCTTTTTCTGTTTCCTTTTCCAGTATAATTCTCTAAACTCCCTACAGTCTTTAGGATGTCTTCTTTTCTTTCGTGTAGTGATACAACTGAGAACCTCAGTGACTCCTTGTTCAATGCTTTTCTTGATAGAATGTTTAGCTTGATGTCATTGCATTGGCCTGACACCAGGCATCGGTGTGATGTGGGCCTGCCGAGAGTAGAGTTTTGAGTCAAAGTGAATTTTACCAATAGAATAAAAGTGATAAAGTAAAAACAAAAAGCAAAAAAACCCGTTTAATTCTTCTTCACATCTTGAGAAAATGAAAACGTGACCAAAATGCACATTATGAGAGCCTCAATTCACAGGAAAGTAAATCACTCTCTTTTTAGCAAAATGTTGTACACAAGATGTCCAGGACACTTAGCGAAAAAGGCCTGTTCATTTTCTTTGGTAAGGCACTTAAATACTGAATGGGATTTGCAAAAATTCCCATTTGCGCCCTCTGCCAAATATGCAGGTAAATAAGTGAAGTCCTGTTTGTATTTGGATAAGAGACCAGCAATCCTTTGTTTTATGTTTTCTGCAATTTCAGGACATTCTTTGCAGAAATTAAGAAATGATTTGAAACACGCTTTTCAAATCAAAATACCTAAGAGCTTGGGGGAACATCTGTTGTAGCCGCCATGCCTCAGTGGGGTCAGTGTAGAAAGTATGATCGTTGGCGAGACCTGACAGAATCAGTTTCGCACTGTAGGGGCCAACACGTCTGTTATGCCCTGGAGTTCCCCCTTTTGTTAGCCCACAGGACATTTTAGTTGCAATATCTGAATCAGGAAATGCAATTCTACTCAGTTTCACAGAGCAATCAAGGGAATAATATGTTAAGCACGCTCATTTGTGTGGTGTGCCCAAGTCAATTCCGTGGCTGCTGTTTTCAACCGAGCATTAGTGTCTTTGGGGGAGACAAACACACCCACTTTTGA